GGTATCCCATTATGTGCTGTCGACTGCTTCAATGACTACCACAGTCTAGAAATCTTCTAAGTGTGCTTCAAAGTGTGTATAGCGTGTGCGAGTGTGTAAATATGTAAACATATAAGCAGATAGCGTGTGCGTGTGTGTAAATATATACAAATATAAGCAAAACATACAATATAATAGACTGTAATGACATATTATATTGCCGTAATTGAAAACATTTGTGTGCGCCTGTGTATACTCAAATATGCAACAATTATTGATGCAAAATATGTTCAAACAGTATTTGAAACACAATTAGTGAAAAAAAATTAGATAAAATGCGCTTAGACATTGTAAATAAATAGCGCGAAAATATATTTGTGGCAACTCTGGCTGTTTGAGGACCGCGCGCAACACCTCCCGGGCGTGTACTGCATGAGCGAACATGCAGATTGTGACGTCATCACCGAGCTTCTCGGCTCTATTGCAACAAAAGTAAGTACAATAGAATTTTTTTTTATTTTTCCAGTGATCAGTGAACAGAACTTAACAGATTAGCAAAAAAACAAAAAAATTTTTTTTTTTCAAAATGACATGCGCCTGTGTGGATAGCAGGATATTAGACCCCGAGCATGTTAAGGGTTAAAGGTTGTTCTGTCCCCTTGTCTCAGGGTGACACTCAGTCTGCCTGTGCCATGCTGGCTGTTGGGTCAGTGACACTTTGACCTGGGGTTCTGCGAGTAGGTGTTCTTTGCTTGTACTCTATACATCCAATCCACTGAGACTGATGATTGGGTGCAGGCAGCTTTAGCGTTGAATGCGAGGTTTAGGTTTCAGCAACGTGCGAGTTTTTTTTTTTTTTTTTTTTTGAGATATATACAAGTTGTTACATTCATGTACAGCCACTAGTACGCGTAGCGTTTCGGGCAGGTCCCTGGAATACAATCCCTGCCGTGAAGAATCATTTTTACAACCAAGTACCCATTTTACTGTTGAGTTAAACAGAGGCTACAGTCAAGGATTTGCGCCCAGTAAAATCCTCCCCAGCCAGGATACGAACCCATGACAAAGCGCTCGCGGAACGCCAGGCGAGTGTCTTACCACTACACCACGGAGACTGGTACTCCAGTTGGTTGCCTTTCCAGATGCCCCGAGCTGCCCTGCTTTGATTGTACAGGTAGTGAGACTCGGGCAGCTTCGGGGATTGCCCTTTTCGGATTGGCAGAGGAGGCATTCAAGCCTGTTCCTCCTGCCGGAGCTTTTGGATCACGCCAGTGGGCCCTCTTCATCCCTGCTTTTCCGGTGGAGTCTACTTTTTCTCCAGAGGCAGAGGGTTTGGAGGATGTCTTGGCCTCGGGTTCTGATATGGAGGATTCCAGGACTGGGGAGTTGACTTGGTGCGGGGGAGGGGGCTTGGGCCCCAATTGACCCTGCTTGGGTGTTGGTTACCTTGGTTACGGGGCCTGTTGTTACAAGGGGGAAGGGGGTTTTCCTATCCCCCTCCCTGTACGATTTTATTAAGAGTTCGTCTCCTCCCCAGGTTCAATTCCGATTTCCCTTGGGTTTTTTTGAAAAGCCAAAAACCTCCTTCCGGAGGTTTTTGGCTTTCTGCATCCCACCGAGGAGGGAAGGTGTGGGAGGCCCTTGCGGCTTACCTCCTGCGAGACCTGGATTACGCCTCGATAATGAAACCTTCTCCTTTTGAGTTTGGCTCCTCTTTTCCTTATTGGGTGCGTTACAAGGTGCCCGAGTCTTCCTGGCAGGCAGACTGCCTTTTCTTTTCGTTGGGGGGTTGGCATTCGTTCTGTTGGACCGCGCACTTGAATGGTAGGAGTTGACTACTGCCATTCAGGTTTACCTGGGGGGAAAATTGGAGCACCTTAGTGTGTGCTTGTTCACCCCCATTCTTCCTAATGATGTTGGCCAGGTGCGGCTTCATGTGCAGGTTTCCTCCTTTTCGGCATCCCTGGTGGCCGAGGATTTGTACGCCTGTGGGCACTTGGCTTCGGTCTTGTGCTTCTTTTCACTGCAGGAGCTGTCTTTATACTGGCTCGGGTGGGTGTGAAGGAGCTGGGTTCCAGGTCAGTGTACGTTGTGCTTGACTCAGCAGCTCGGGTGTCGGCTGCCGTGTTGAAGTTGTATGCTTCGTTTCTGAGGGAGGTGGTGTGTCTGTTCTTTGTTTCTCGCCTCGTGTGCTGATAGGTGGTGCTTGTCCATTCTTTGGAATTGTCATGGGCCCTGGCTCTTAAATTTTCAGCCCCTTTTTGTCCGTTGCTGTTTGCAGAGTTTGCGGTGGTGCATTTTCTGCAGGCAGCCTCGTCTAGTTGCCTGCCTATGGTGGACTTTTTGGTTCTCCTGGGGAGCCATGGTAGTCCTGCCCGGAAGGGTTGCGCCAGGTCTCGGGGTTCCTTCAGTCTTCATAAGCCAGAAGTGCCAGATATGGGACTGGCAGTTCCTGCGGAGTCGTTGACACATTGATCTCTCTGAATGTTGGTCGGGTTTTCGTAGGGGTCGTCGGCCCTTTTGCACTTCGCCCCATTGATAGGGCAATATGGGGAAGGCTTGTGCTGTTTGCTCTTGCCTGGGCCCACGATTCGTGGGCATTTCAGGTCGTTTCATCCGGCCTGCGGTGGCGTCGAGTTGTTCCTTCTCCTTCGGGCGGATCAGGGCTGGCGGGTGGACCTCTTCCCTTGCGCTCTGTCAGGTCATCCTTGAGTGGGTTTTCTGCCTTTTTTCAGTCAAGAAACGGGACTGGATGAATCTGCGATTCACACTGGGCTTGTCCCATCTAATTCCCTGGGACTTTTGCCCCTTCTTTCAAATGACCACTGTCTCGGGTCCAGCTGCTTTTGGTGCCGGGTGCCTGGATGGTGTTTCTGGACCTCTGGGATGCGTATTGGCATGTCCTAATTCATATGGGGTTTAGGGACTGGCTCGGTTTTGTCATTGGGTGACAAGCTTACCACTTTTGTTGTCTTCCTTCCCGTTTGGATCTGGCACCTTGTGTTTTCACATGCCTTACCCGTGTCGTGGTGACCCGTTAGCGTCTGATAGGGGTTAAAGTTCTGGCTTACCTCGATGATTGGCTGGTGTTGGCTCCCAGCCAATCCGTGTGTCTGCACGCCAGGGATTTGGTTCTTAACCATTTCACCGGGTTCAGGTTCTTTGTGTACTGGAGGAAGTCCCATTGGTTCCCTTTCAGGTTCCGAGTGGGCTGGGTCTTGTGTGGGACTCTCGGACCGCTTCCTTGTCTCTCCCTCCGGCGGTGTTGTTGCAGCTGCGATCCCGCTTACAACTGTTTTTGGAGGGCACCCAGGTCTCACGTTGGTTGTTCAAGCAGCAGTGCGGGAGCCTGATCTTTGCCGTGCTGGTTTACCCGTTGGGTTGGATCTGGCTTCGGCGGATGATCTGGTTTCTTTGGGGGTATCCCTTCTGCCGCTCTCGTGATCACTGGGTTCGGATCCTGGGAGCCTTGCATTGGCTGCTTCATCACTGGCTTCCTCTGAAGGTTTTTCGGGGTTCTGTGCTCCTTACTCCTCCCTGAGCCCTCGCTCAGTGTGTTCACAGATGCCTCGTCTCTCAGCTGGGGTTTTGTGACCAGTGCTCACCATGCCGGCCAGGGTCGGTGGGGTCTGTCCTACCGTCGGGCTCACGGCACAGGAGTTCGCGGCGGTGTGGTGTTCACTTTAGAGGGTTTGTGCGCTTGTGGAGTAACGATCCGGCTCCATTCAGACTGCTCCCCGGTGGTTCATTGTCTGAACTGCGGGGGTTCGATGCAGTCCTTGGCTCGTTGGGGCTCGTTGCTTCAGGTGACTCGTCTGCCGAGTTCTAGGGGTTTTGCTCTCCTGGCGGTTTAAGTTCAGGAGGTGTCAAACGTTCTGTTGGATGGCCTGTCATGGTCCATTCCCCTATCCATGAATGGACATTTGACGCCGACTCATTCAGTTGGCTCTGCCGAACGTATGGGCGCCATGCCTCGTCTCATTGGCATGGTTGAGGCGTCTTCCAGTGAACGTGGCGCCCTACCCAGACTGCAATGACGTCGGGGTCGATGCCTTTCAGCTGGACTGGTCGAGGTGGGGTTACCCGTACCTCTTCCCACCCGTGCAGTTGTTGCTCCGGGTCCTGGCTCACTTGGTGACACTTGCCAGGGGATAGTAGTCCTGTTGGCTCCTTGGTGGCCGGCCCAACCTTGGTGTCAGGCGCTTCTTGCACCCCAAACCCGAGGGTCTTCCCGCAGCTGTGCCTCTTTCAGTAGATTGATCAAGTCCGGTACGTGGCTGGTTTGATCTTCTCTGCTCTTCCCTCTGTGCAACCCCCCTTCCTGGGGAGGGGGGGGGGGATGCGCAGAGAGATGCGCGGCGGTTGTGATGACATCATGTTTGTTTCCTTCTATTTGATTGGGGTGTTCTGTTTGCTAGTTTGGCTTTCGTTTGCAATTTTTGACCAGCAATAGTTTTTGAAATTCCTACCTTTCTGGATTCCTGACCTGGTAGATGGCAGACAAAGACTACTTCCAATTACACGGGTGTGTCTTTAGGCCATTGCTCCTCATGCCTCTCTTGAGGGGGCCAGGTTCTGGCTCTGGTCCCTGGTAGGCCTAGAACTCCCTAAATTGACTGTTGCCACAGTCTAATATATACGTGTACACATAAGCCCGGTATAGTTCCGGGGAGCTGAAGGGGGCTCACCCAGAAAATGCCGTTTAATTACATTCAACGCTGGTTCTTTGTGTACAGTAACCAGAACACTTTTGTTGGTACTGTATTTTTAACTTTCTGCATTACTATACTGTTAGTCTTTCTTTCCCTCTTTAAACTCATTGTAGTGTATGGACTGTGTAAACATTATTCATAATTATATTGTACAATAACTAGAGTAAATATTTTAAATTTATTTTATTTTTGCACTACATAGTATCTAGTTTTATTATTTAATTATTCTTCCATACCTCTTTGCCTGAATTGTTTAGGAAAGTACTTGTGGTATTATGTGTTGCTCATGTAATGTGTGGTGGCTGCCAGAGAGTGTAGTGTTGGCCCTGCATGATGTGAGCGACGGAGGGCTAGTGACATGCCTGCTGGAGATGGCCATAGCAGGTTGGGGTGGCATGGAGGTGGACATCCCTCCCGCACCTGCACCCTCGGGTGTAGACCATGCCCCGCTTCCACTTTCTGCTCTGTTCAGCGAGGAAGTTGGGTGAGTTATAACTTTCTACTGATCTGTATTTGTTTACTTAAGGCCTTCTCAATGCTGTGAAGGGGGGGGATTATAGTACTCTATTTCTCTATCATATATTTCACTAATGCTTTTTCTTAAATTTCCCCTTATGATTGCAATATAAAGTATTAAGATACACAAAGGATCATATTACCATAGTTAGGTACAGTATTTATATATTCTATAAAGCCACTTATTGTGCTGAGCATTTTTGGCATAACTTAATGAGTGAATTAAGTTTTAAATTTATTTGGGTAATACTTTGATATTTACTGCACAACTTCAATTTGCCTTCTGTGACAAGAGTTTTGACAAGACGTTTAACTTGAATGGTTATTCTGACAATGTAAATTAAGGTTATGGGCCACTGGAAGTCCAAATGTTGCAGGAGTTTCTTCTGTTGGTGCTAATGATATAAATTACCAGAATTTGTATAGTTTCTCATAATGCTGTGCAAACTATGAAATAATGATAATCTGAGAATACCGTACTGAAGCAGTCCTGTTCCTGAACAGTTTACTAGAACAGAGGTCCTGTATTCAAATAACCTCATAATTGGAATTGACGTTGCTTTGGTTAGCTTAACTCATACTATTTTCCAGTATTTATATACTTGTATTTTTTTAGTACAGTATTTTATTTACAATTTTTTGCTATAATGTATTTCTGTGCTGGAAGTTGTACAGTTAAAGTCAAGCAGGTAGTAGAAGAGAAGGAATCTTGCTAGAATAAAATGTTAAATACAGTATAGAAAACTTGCCAATAATAGGGATATAGATCCACAGAAGATTTTTGTTAGCCCTATTAAGCATGAAGGACAGAGGGTAGGAGAGCATGTAAGCAAATTCCAGTGGTAACTTATCCCTTGTTGTTGATATGAAGATTGAGGTGTGGATACAGTACATGTGTACCATGCCTCACATGGCATGCTCAAAATCTTGCAATAAAACAAGGCCAAAACTAACCCGAGACTTCCATCAGGTGGGTGCTGGAGGTGGCAGGTGAGCAGAGCAAGTGTGTCTTGGAGAGGTTTGTGAGTGCCGGAGTTCGTGGCACCTGTTGTCTGGGCACCACCGTAGGAACTGGTCCTCGTGCTCAGGTAGTTTTAAGATAAAACTTTTTATAAAATAAATTTTTGAAATTTTTATTTTTACTTGGTTGGAGTTCATGATGTTGCCAAGATGCAATTGCAAAGTATTACATAAATTTGATACTCAAAATACATTTGTAAGTACAGAAAGTAGAACATGTATAAAAATAATAGTGTAATAATTTATATTATTGCAAGAGTATGCTAAAGCTGTGTAGTCTGACATGCTAGAGTTCATACATGAGGTTGTGAAGGCATTAACAATTGTAATCTGCAGCTATAAAATATGACGAGCTCTTGGTGCACAGAAAAATTGTATATGTCCCCCTCTCCCCCCGCCCCATATGTTTATTGTATTGTTAAAATGCATTCTCTGATCATAGGGAAACTATATTGTATGTGACATACTTTGGTTGTAATTGGATGAAGTACAGCAATATTCACTCGTTGAGAGAAGACACTCCAGCAGTGATGTACTCCAGCCAAGTAGTTTGGCAGGGACCGCTTCAAGTACAATTTTTCATAATTATTTCAATAATTATGAAAACGACCGATAAAGTAAGATTAACAATTCTAACACAAATTTTCTCTGTTTCTTATGTTTCTTTTCACTGTCGATGGTAATTGAAAAATCAATTCTTCAAAATTCATTTTTATTTCTAGTCTGACACGACACTTGAATGCGTTTCGTAATAACTTATTACATTTTAAAAGAGTTTAGTTTACACACACACAACTATAACTTGCAAACACTAAACAGAGTTTAAACAGCTTTTATTTTATACCTGCATTTTGGTGAGGAATGGGAATGTGCCATTGAGGCACATTCCTATGTTACAACAGTTTTGGATGAGGTGAAAACAAACTTTGAACACAAGACAGAACACGAAACAATGGGTATAATATTGGCTAAGTTAAAGAGAAGAATGGAAGTAACCACAAAGAGCCTATTGGCCCATATTTCTTGATGCTTCTATATTGGTGCAGAGTTTTGAAGTGGGTAGAATATAGTTGTGCATTAATTGGCTTTTGATTGCTGGTGTTGACTTCTTAATGTGTAGTGCCTCACAGATATCTAGCCGCCTGCTATCGCTGTATCTATCGATGATTTCCGTGTTTTTTGTTAAGACTTCCCTGGTGATGGTCTGGTTGTGGGAAGAGATTATATGTTCCTTAATGGAGCCCTGTTGCTTATGCATCGTTAATTGCCTGGAAAGAGATGTTGTTGTCTTGCCTATATACTGAGTTCTTTGAGGCTTACAGTCCCCAAGTGGGCATTTGAAGGCATAGACGACATTGGTTTCTTTTAAAGCTTTCTGCTTTGTATCTGGAGAGTTTCTCATGAGTAGGTTGGCCGTTTTCTTGGTTTTATAGTAAATCGTCAATTGTATCTTCTGATTTTTGTCTGTAGGGATAACGTTCCTATTAACAATATCTTTCAGGACCCTTTCCTCTGTTTTATGAGCTGTGGGAAAGAAGTTCCTGTAAAATAGTCTAATAGGGGGTACAGGTGTTGTGTTAGTTGTCTCTTCAGAGGTTGCATGGCGTTTCACCTTCCTTCTTATGTCTTCAACGAAACCATTGGAGAAGCTGTTGTTGACTAGGACCTGCCTTACCCTACAGAGTTCTTCGTCGACTTGCTTCCATCCTGAGCTGTGGCTGAGAGCACGGTTGACATAAGCGTTAACAACACTCCTCTTGTACTTGTCTGGGCAGTCACTGTTGGCATTGAGGCACATTCCCATGTTTGTTTCCTTAGTGTAGACTGCAGTGTGGAAACCTCCGCTCCTTTCCATGACTGTTACATCTAGAAAGGGCAGCTTCCCATCCTTCTCCATCTCGGAAGTGAAACATAGCACAGAATTCCGCTCAAATGCCTCCTTCAGCTCCTGCAGATGTCTGACATCAGGTACCTGTGTAAAAATGTCGTCAACATACCTGCAGTATATGGCCGGTTTCAAGTTCATGTCGACTAAGACCTTTTGTTTGATGGTACCCATGTAAAAGTTCGCAAACAGGACACCTAGGGGAGAACCCATGGCGACCCCATCTACTAGCTTATACATGTGCCCATCCGAGCTCAAGAAGGGTGCCTCTTTAGTACAAGCTTGGAGTAGTTTCCTTAGAATGTTTTCTGGTATGTCAAGAGGAGTACAGCCCGGATCACGATACACTCTGTCCGCTATCATCCCGTTTGTTTCATCCACAGGTACGTTGGTAAACAGTGATTCTACGTCCAACGAGGCTCTTATCCCTGTGGCCCGTGTTCCCCGCAGTAAGTCAACAAATTTCTTTGGAGACTTCAGGCTGAAGGCGCAAGGGACATAAGGAGTCAGCAAGCTGTTGAGTCGCTTGGCCAGTCTGTACATGGGTGTGGGTATCTGGCTGATGATTGGCCGAAGTGGGTTTCCAGGCTTGTGTGTCTTGACGTTTCCATACGCGTATCCAGGTTTGTATTCCCCAATAATCTTTGGCAGGTGGAGTCCGGATTTCTTGGCGTTCACAGTTTCGATCAATTTGTTGATCTTTGCTTTCAATTCGGCTGTAGTGTCCTTCGTTACTCTTTGGAATTTAGTTTGGTCAGAGAGTATGAGGTTCATTTTCGCCAGATATTCGTCTTTTTTAAGAATGACGTATATTGGCGACTTGTCACCTCTCCTGACGACTATCTCCTTGTTTTCACGAAGGCTCTTAGCTGCCACTTTGAGCTCGGGGGACAGTATGGTGCTTCTGTAGTTGCCTCGATTCTTTCCTCCCTCTGCAATAAGTTCTGGTTGTAAGGTGTCCTTGGTGGTGACCTTCTTTTGTGTTTCGAAGTTGAATATGTCGTCCAACAGGATCTCCAACTCCACTTTCCGGGCCATCTCACTTGGTCTGGACATAACGTTACAGTTTATACCCAGATAAACACAATTGTTTAGTGTTTGCAGGTTATAGTTGTGTGTGTGTAAACTAGTGTCTTTGAAAATGTAATAAGTTATTACGAAACGCGTTCAAGTGTCGCGTTAGACTAGGAATAAAAATGAATTTTGGAGAATTGATTTTTCAATTACCATCGACAGTGAAAAGAAACATAAGAAATATTGAGAAAATTCGTGTTAGAATTATTAATCTTACTTTTTCGGTCATATTTAATAAAATAAATATATATATATATATATATATATATATATATATATATATATATATATATATATATATATATATATATATATATATATATATATATATATATATATATATATATATATATATATATATATATATATATATATATATATATATATATATATATGTAAATAATATATTGGTGTATACTTTCAGCAGGTTTTCTTTCAAACATGTTTCATTGAATATGACCGCATATTCTGTATTTATTATTTTCTGGTTTAGGGCTTCTATCCCTCTAACTATTTTATTAGCATCAGGGCTTAATTGAAATAGGAGTTCTCCAAAACTCATTTTCGTACTTTTAAGGTGAAGAAAAGAAGTGATTTACTATAGAGTGTATTACACTTATATGTATAATTTGCACGACGTTTCGAACCTCGAAACTTTCAAACGAGGTTCGAAACGTCGTGCAAATTATACAAATAAGTGTAATACACTCTATAGTAAATCACTTCTTTTCTTCACCTTAAAAGTACGAAAATGAGTTTTGGAGAACTCCTATTTCAATTAAGCCCTGATGCTAAGAAAATAGTTAGAGGGATAGAAGCCCTAAACCAGAAAATAATAAATACAGAATATGCGGTCATATTCAATGAAATATATATATATATATTATAAAATGATATGTACAATGGTCCATATCAATACTGTAAGTGCTATCTAAATAGAAGGATGAGCTGCAAGGCAGTGGTCTTTATGGACAATGTATAATTACTTTAATGTTAGGTGAGTATCAGTGTAGGAGGTGAAGAGACCATTTGCTTGACGGTGCTGGAAGCTGCCAGACTGTGGGAGGAGACTAGTTATCAGTTGGAGAACCGGCAAACCAACCCAGAATGTGCCGAGGACGAGTACCGCAGCCTTGCCGACCGTGCGCACACCACCTACGATGTCCCCTTCTCTTACAGAGACTTTGTCTTGGGTAAATATCTTTTGGAGCCGTGGATATCTATAGCTTTGATTATTGTTTTTGATGGAATTTATAAATACTGTCAAATCTCACTTACCCTAATTATATGGGGAGGGCCCCCTCCAGTGGACATGAGCAGTAACAAAGTCCAAAAGTGAACATATTTGCAGTTTTCTGTTGGAAGCCCCTTCGGCTCCCTGAAGTTATCCGAACTGATATGTGCTATATTAGTTTGGGGTCATCAGTCACAGAAGTCCTTTTGCCTACCAGGGACCACAAGCCAGAACCTGGCTCCCTCAGAAAGGTGCAGGGAGCAATGGCCTATGAGCATGTGTAATTACCTAAGTGTAGTTACAGGATGAGAGCTACGCTCGTGGTGTCCCGTCTTCCCAGCACTCTTTGTCATATAACGCTTTGAAACTACTGACGGTCTTGGCCTCCACCACCTTCTCACTTAACTTGTTCCAACCGTCTACCACTCTGTTTGCAAAAGTGAATTTTCTTATATTTCTTCGGCATCTGTGTTTAGCTAGTTTAAATCTATGACCTCTTGTTCTTGAAGTTCCAGGTCTCAGGAAATCTTCCCTATCGATTTTATCAATTCCTGTTACTATTTTGTACGTAGTGATCATATCGCCTCTTTTTCTTCTGTCTTCTAGTTTTTGCATATTTAATGCCTCTAACCTCTCCTCGTAGCTCTTGCCCTTCAGTTCTGGGAGCCACTTAGTAGCATGTCTTTGCACCTTTTCCAGTTTGTTGATGTGCTTCTTAAGATATGGGCACCATACAACTGCTGCATATTCTAGCTTTGGTCTAACAAAAGTCGTGAACAATTTCTTTAGTATATCGCCATCCATGTATTTAAAAGCAATTCTGAAGTTAGAAAGTGTAGCATAGGCTCCTCACACAATATTCTTTATGTGGTCCTCAGGTGATAGTTTTCTATCTAGAACCACTCCTAGATCTCTTTCTTTATCAGAATTCTTTAAAGATTTCTCGCATAATATATAGGTTGTGTGGGGTCTATGTTCTCCTATTCCACATTCCATAACATGGCATTTATTAACATTAAATTCCATTTGCCAAGTGGTGCTCCATATACTTATTTTGTCCAGGTCTTCTTGAAGGGTATGACAATCATCTAAGTTTCTTATCCTTCCTATTATCTTAGCATCATCAGCAAACATGTTCATGTAATTGTGTATACCAACTGGTAGATCATTTATGTAGACAATGAACATCACTGGTGCAAGAACTGAACCCTGTGGTACTCCACTTGTGACATTTCTCCAATCCGATACATTGCCTCTGATTACAGCCCTCATTTTTCTGTCAGTTAGGAAATTTTTCATCCATGTTAGAAGCTTACCTGTCACTCCTCCAATATTTTCCAGTTTCCAGAACAACCTCTTATGTGGAACTCTGTCGAAAGCCTTTTTTAGGTCCAGATAGATGCAGTCAACCCAACCATCTCTTTCCTGTAATATCTCTGTGGCTCGATCATAGAAACTGAGTAAATTCGTTACACAGGATCTTCCAGATCGAAAACCATACTGTCTGTCTGATATTATGTCGTTTCTCTCCAAGTGTTCTACCCATTTAGTTTTAATTATTTTTTCCAATATTTTGACTATTACACTTGTCAATGATACAGGTCTATAATTAAGGGGGTCTTCCCTGTTTCCACTTTTGTAGATTGGAACTATGTTAGCCTTTTTCCACACATCAGCTACAACTCCTGTACACAGGGATGCCTGAAAAATCAGTTGAAGTGGAATGCTGAGCTCAGGTGCACATTCTCTCAGAACCCATGGTGAAACCCCATCTGGACCAACTGCTTTGTTCTTACTTAGCTCCTTGAGCATTTTTTCCACTTCGTCTCTAGACACCTCTATGTGCTCTATGTTGTTCTCTGGAATTCTTATTGTATCTGGTTCCCTGAAGATTTCCTTTTGTACAAACACACTTTGGAACTTTTCGTTTAATGTTTCACACATTTCCTTTTCATTTTCCGTGAATCTATTTCCCATTTTCAACCTCTGAATATTATCCTTTACCTGCAATTTGTTGTTTATGAATTTATAGAATAGACCTGGTTCTGTTTTACATTTGTCTGCAATCCCTTTTTCAAAATTTCTTTCTGCCTCTCTCCTTACTGCCGTATAGTTGTTTCTCGCATCTTTGTATCGCTGGTATGTTTGGGGGTTCGGCCTCTTCCTGTATTGATTCCATTTTTGTGTCTTTTGGTCTCTGGCCCTCTCGCAATTTCTGTTGAATCAATCCTGTTTCCTAGTTCTGCATCTCTGTTTTGGTATAAATTTTTTTGTGCCTTTATCATATATTTCACAAAACTTGACATACATCTCATTCACTTCCTTGCCTAGCATCAAGTCTGTCCAATTATACTCACTAAAAAATGTTCTAAGGTTGCACCATAATGTCCTCTCCTGAAGTCTAGTTTTTCAACTGCTTCAACCTCCTTATTTTCTTCCAGCTTATAACGCATTGCATACTTTATTCCCAAAAAGACATGGTCACTTTTACCCAAGGGAGGAAGGTACTGAATGTCAAATATTTCTTCCTCGTTCCTGATAAATATCAAATCTAGCATGGAGAGGACATCCCCTTCCCTCATCCTCGTAGCTAGTTTAACCCTTAACATGCTCGGGGTCTAATATCCTGCTATCCACACAGGCGCATGTCATTTTGAAAAAAAAAAAAATTTTTTTTTTTTGCTAATCTGTTAAGTTCTGTTCACTGATCACGGGAAAAATAAAAAAAAAATTCTATTGTACTTACTTTTGTTGCAATAGAGCCGAGAAGCTCGGTGATGACGTCACAATCTGCATGTTCGCTCATGCAGTACACGCCCGGGAGGTGTTGCGCGCGGTCCTCAAACAGCCAGAGTTGCCACAAATATATTTTCGCGCTATTTATTTACAATGTCTAAGCGCATTTTATCTAATTTTTTTTCACTAATTGTGTTTCAAATACTGTTTGAACATATTTTGTATCAATAATTGTTGCATATTTGAGTATACACAGGCGCACACAAATGTTTTCAATTACGGCAATATAATATGTCATTACAGTCTATTATATTGTATGTTCTGCTTATATTTGTATATATTTACACACACGCACACGCTATCTGCTTATATGTTTACATATTTACACACTCGCACACGCTATACACACTTTGAAGCACACTTAGAAGATTTCTAGACTGTGGTAGTCATTGAAGCAGTCGACAGCACATAATGGGATACCACACGTTTCACACCATGTTTGCACAAGCTTCCGTTTCTTGTCTCTACGTGTCGTTGTTTTACACACCAAGCAATCACGTTGGGCTATTGCACGCTTCACACCAGGTGGCAAATACTTAAGTTTGTGTGCTAGGAAGCCTTCAGTGTGAGCGAGGCGTGGAGTACCAGCATGCTGCAACAGTGGGTTTATGATGGGCCGCTGAATACCTGGGACATCTTTTGCAAACTTTCCTAATAACTGTATTGCAGCATCAAATACAAAGTCACGGAAAGTGGGCTTACGTCCAGTTCTCACAAGGTACATGTTGAAACAGTTCAGCATGCTCATGTCCACAAGATGGAAGAACACTTTTTTCGTCCACCTACATGTCTTCCGCACACACTCTGCAGTGCCAATCATCATGTCTGATTTATCAATCAACCGCATGTTGATATTATAGTCTAAAACACAGTCTGGCTTATATAGTGGTGCGTTTGTTTTATGGCTCACTTTCCCACTGTTCACCATTGTTCCATCATGAATTGTTGTCAACAAGTTCACCTCTCTTTTGTCTTTCCACCGAACTGACAGAATGTTATCACTTTTCCTTCTCTGACACTCACCAACTGCAATGTCGTTGTCAAACACAGGCATTTCCCTTCGTTGTGGCTTTACTGTACCAACCAATCCGGTTCTATTTTCTAGCAAGAACCGAGCTAGCAAGGGACTTGTATAGTAATTATCTGTGTATAAAATGTGTCCCTTGTTCATCCACGGAGCCATGATGGTCTTCACTACACTCCCCGAGAATCCATGTTCGTCGTTACCGGGAATGTCTACATCACTAGCCGAGTACAGAATCATGTGTAACACGTATCCTGTCTCACAATCACAAAGAACAAAAAATTTCAGGCCAAATCGGTTTCGTTTTGAGGGAATGTACTGTTTGAATGGAACACGTCCCTTGAAAAGTATGAGAGATTCATCAACCACCAGCTTCTGTGCTGGTACGTAAAAATCTCTGAATTTTCCAATAACATCGTTCATGTAGTGCCTCACTCGCCACAGTCTATCATCAGGTGTTCGGTCCTGAACACTTCCAAAATGTAGACACCTGAGGAGTATCTGAAACCTGTCTCGTGACATATATTTCCCGAATAAAGGTGTTGGTATTGTCTTGTCCTTGCTCCAATAGTCATTTATTGCATGTTTGTGACAGTGCTTCATCAACAAACAGAGTGCCAAAAACACATACATTTCCGCCACTGTGGTATTTTTCCAACGCTGCAGTCGTGAAAATTCTGTGATTTCCCTCTCAATCAGGTAAGCAGCATGCAGGTTCGTTTGGTGTACAATGTATTCCATGAGTGGTTCATCATAGAATGCTGTAAAATATTCCATCTCAGCCATGTCCTCACCTTGATTAGGGAAAAGGTTTGTAATCCCTACATCTTTATCGTCAAAGTGAGGAATATTAGGAATAAAATCGTCACCATCACTCCACTCAAGTACACCAGGCGTCCTGCGAGATGCAGAGGAAAGACGGCGAGGAAGCGATGCATACCGGCGACCAGGAGCTGAATACCGTCTGCGAGAAGCACGGCGGCTACGTGCACGTGAGGTGGGCACGTGAGGTGGGTGCACGTGAACACGAGGGTCTTGGTCCCTCATGTGGTGCCATGCGGTGGCGCTTGGCCGGGCGAGATGCTGCTGACGCGACAATTTCTCGCCCAGTTACACCACTGGTACCAGCCACAGGCTCA